ATTTACAACTTTTTTTTATTCATAAGGTATATTTATTAGATTAATCATTATTATAACAAATCTAAAATATAAAATTTTTTATTAGACAAATATTTAGTGTGAGACTTATAACTAAATTTATTTTTAAATTTTAGAACTTACATTTCCAGACAATAAAATTGAAATTGAACATAAAATTCTAATTTTACGCCTTAATTCTTAATTTGTACGATCCAAACATAAAATTTATGATTTTCTACTAATTCCAATTATGACAGGAATAGAACTATAAATTGAATTGTAATTTTAGTTCTAATATTTAAATGGACCTAAGAATAAATAGTGGTAAGAAATTTTAAACATTTATAAAAAGATTAATTTAATGATTAAATATTCCTACGCTCATTATAATTGAAAAAAGTATAGTTCCGATGAATTTTTATTTGATTATCAAATTTTATATTCAAATTCATTCAATATTTTTATTATATCATTGATAAGAATATATCAAATGTGACGGTTTACCATATTATCAAAAATATTGTTTTGGTAAGAAAAAATGCAAAGGATTTTTCTGAAAACATATTTTTTTTGTTAGATAGCAACAGGTCCAAAGTCTTAATGAACTCGACTAATTCGGTTGTGATTTTGTGTCTCTCCATCCTTCTCGGGAATTGCAACTCTCGCAATTTGAACCCACTAACTTTTGACACATCAAATCTTGGGATTTATCCAGATTTGAATCCTCTTGTGTGTAAAAGTGATTATGTGATTATGTTATTTGATCACAACCATTCATTTATACTCATTAATGATGAGATAAAAAAGAAAAAAAATGTATAATTTTTAAATAAGTGATTGTGATGAAATAATATGATATATTACTATTTTTCACATAAAAGGATTCGAATCCGGGTTTAACAATGTCGTTATTAAATCAATAACTCTTAGGTTCTAAAGAGACATTTTGCTGCTGTCTAGCTTTCCTGTTTCATCAATCATTAAGGTTAACCACCTACTATAAGAATTTTAAACTTGAGTAGACTTCTGCAATTAATCAAATAATTACCGAGAGAACGTCATTATCTAATAACTGACGGCTAGCTAGTAAGGGTATTTTTAAGGATTTAATAAGATAATGTAATCTGACAAAGTGGTATCTACATTATTTATTATGTTACATTTATTTTACAAATTAACGTTTAATAAGATAGTGTTACAAAGTCGTAGACTCGTAGGTTCGGTTTGTGCCTATTCAATAACATTTTGTAGGTTTGACCTAGTTTTGGGATATACTACAAAATTGCGTAGCTAGGTCACGTGTTAGGGTAATTACAAGTGCATATATGTAATTAATTGAAAGTCACAGACAATTTGGAGACAATGTTATTTGAGCTTTGGGGAGCCACATTGAGATCAGCAGGAGGTCTTAACACTAGCTAGTTTTCAAAAATGTAAAAGTTTTTTTTAAAATATTATGATATAGCCTTGGTCTTAGTTGGATTTTTAAAAAATGATCTAGCCTTGATACTATACTGAGTTCCTTTTGACTGAGTTTTTTTGGCACGAGCTAAAATTTTTACCTGACTCCGCCATTGGAGTTTATCTATATTTATCATTCCTTCTATGCAATGCAATATGTTAGCATCCCACGATATATCAATCAATTATAAAGAGAGGAAAAATAAGAGATATGAAAATCATTGAGGCAGCCATGGTTCCTGTCTACTAGCTAGAAGAGGAGAAACGACTTAGTTAGGCAACCATGTAGAGAGTTTTCAAAGTTTGATGTTGAAATATAGGGGAAATGTTGGAAATGTTAGTGGAGATAAATTAGAAGATTTGATTGATTGTAATCATATGTAATAAATATAGTGCATAAAGACAGCAACAAATCATCTGATTTCTTTGATCGTCGATAAAATAATTTGACCACCCAATTATCATATTACCTGTTATTTATATTGAAGGGTGAGAGGGAGAGAAAATTATCAATGAGCAGGGGAGGAAATTATAAGGGAACGTAAGTCTAATGAAATCACAATAAATTATGTGTCCTTTTATTTCTAACAGAAGCGACAAATTAATTATATCGTTTATTCATTTTCATTATTGAGAAAATTACTTACAAGCACAAAATAATAAAATGGTGGTTATTAGTGTCTTTTTCTTATGAAGAAAATAAGGGCAGTGGCAACCCTACCAGCTAATTAGCCAGTTACTTTATCGTTTATTTTATGATTCATGCATTGACATGCTGTCTCAATCAAATCCGAATCCGCGTTTTATGATCAACTTGGGTCGCATTGGTCCAAAAAACTCAAATAAGTTATTTAAGCATACCATTATTTTTAACAATTTCATATTTTTCAACAAGGTGAATTGTAATATAGATCTAATCAAAAGTACACCAACCAAGATGAATTTGGTCTTGAACCGGGTAAAGAAAGAAGCTATATAAAGGGTGACACTAACTTTGCATTAGCATAACCAAAACTCACTCCAAGTGAAGTTGGTGAAAAATGGGGTCTCTAATGGCCTCGGTTACGCTTACCCTTGTGTTAACAATAATCTCTATCACCTTGCCATCTCAAATATCAGCAGATAACTACATCTATTCATCTCCACCACCACCACCAAAGCCTTACTACTACCACTCTCCACCACCACCAGTGCACTCTCCTCCTCCTCCTTACCATTACTCTTCACCACCACCACCCCCCATAAAGCCCTACAAGTACCCATCACCTCCACCACCAGTTTACAAGTATAAGTCCCCTCCTCCTCCTTATAAGTACCCATCTCCACCACCCCCGCCATACAAGTATCCATCTCCACCACCCCCAGTTTACAAGTACAAGTCTCCACCACCACCATCACCAAAGAAGCCATACAAGTATCCATCTCCACCACCACCAGTATACAAGTACAAGTCTCCTCCTCCTCCCTACAAATACCCTTCACCGCCTCCACCACCACCAGTTTACAAATACAAATCCCCTCCTCCACCACCTAAACAACCATACAAGTATCCATCTCCTCCACCACCAGTTTACAAGTACAAGTCTCCTCCTCCTCCCTACAAGTACCCTTCACCCCCTCCACCACCATACAAGTACCCATCTCCACCACCCCCAGTTTACAAGTATAAGTCTCCACCACCACCAGTTTACAAATACAAATCTCCACCACCACCAGTTTACAAGTACAAGTCTCCTCCACCACCAGCAAAGAAACCTTACAAGTATCCATCTCCACCACCACCAGTATACAAATACAAATCTCCTCCTCCTCCATATAAGTACCCCTCACCTCCTCCTCCACCATACAAGTACCCGTCTCCACCACCCCCAGTTTACAAGTACCAATCTCCACCACCACCAGTCTACAAGTACAAATCACCACCACCACCAGTTTACAAGTACAAATCTCCTCCACCACCACCAAAGAAACCCTACAAGTACCCATCTCCACCACCCCCAGTTTACAAGTACCAATCTCCACCACCACCAGTCTACAAGTACAAATCACCACCACCACCAATTTACAAGTACAAATCTCCTCCACCACCACCAAAGAAACCCTACAAGTACCCATCACCTCCACCCCCAGTTTATAAGTATAAATCTCCTCCTCCTCCTGTTCATTCACCACCACCACCACACTACATTTATGCATCACCTCCTCCTCCAGTCCATTCCCCACCTCCACCACACTACATCTATTCATCACCTCCTCCTCCTTACCACTACTAGATAGTGGTTTAGCGTAGCATCTCATGGTAAGCTTCTTCATACAACCTGCATTATCATGATAATGATATTTGTAAAATTACCTTCAAATGCTCTTTACATGTCACATGCAAGTCATTAGATAACTACTCGCTTTCGCTTTCACTTTTTTTCAATCATCTAAATTTCACATATATCTCAATCATGTTCTAACAAAACTATGACACACTAGTCTGTTTGATACTAGTGTTTCACATTTTTTAATTTTCAAATTTTAAAAACGTATTTGATATTGATATAAATTTTTTCCTTTGTAATTAATTACAAAGTCGTCATGGGCTTTTCGAATTCCCATTTCTTTTTAGTGAAATTTTGAGAATGATATGGCCATTGGTTAGTTTCAGATTTGGTTTCCCTTTATTATGATATTTATCTTAAAGAGTCATTTTCATTAAAATCAAAGTAAGCATATTTTCAAAGTCTATTTTTATATTATTGAAAAAAATAAAAATTATCTTAATTAATTTTACATATGGTCCCAAAACTATGTTTGACTCACGTTTTCAAGGGTTTAAAACACGTAATATCATTTTCTCACTAATTAATGACAATAACCGATTCACTAATCGACCCCTTCAATTTTGAGAGTATGTACGATAGTTTCTTAATTAATGTAATTTTTGTCCAGGTGTCTTCACAATTAAATAATTATAATAATTTGCATCAATTACTTTAAATACATATCAAAGTTTATAAAAAAAAAAAATGTGCTTTGCACAGCTACGAATAATTAATATATTCTTTTGTGTGTAATTTTTGTAGGATTTGACGAATATGTGAGAATAAAGAAAGATGTGGACAGCAGGAAGATGCACTTCGCAATTACCCAAGGAAAACAACGGAAGCAAAGTTTCCGCACGTTTTGTCTTTCAAAGAAAATGAAGTGTCACTCCTTTTCTTGTCGTTTGTTTAGTTTATGAATTACTGTTGTGTATTTAGACAGCTGTAAGCCACTGCTTCGCTCTTCTGTCATTCAATATCACATTAATGGGTTGGGAAGACAATTATATAATAAATAAATATTTTCTTTCTCACTATTCATTCAGTAATTATAAAATATTGAGAATATTTTTAATGACAAAAATTTGATTTAAATTTAATGAAATAATTTTTTAATTTAGTCTAACTACTTATATAATTAACTAATTAAGTATATATATTGTGTTTTTTTTTTTTGGTATGCATATATATTGTGCTTTTATTAGAAAGAATGTAGTTATTTTATAGGGTAAATATACTCTCATGTGACAAAAAAAAAAATTATCTCCTACACACTTAAATTGAAGTGGGGCCCAATAAAAAAGAAAAGAAAAAAATAAAAAAAGAAATGACACAAGTATCAATGTATGAGTAGAAGATAAGAAAAATTTTATGTTGCATAAGATTAACATTGCCCTATTTTATAATGAGAAGGGATATTCTTACTACCAAAATCTTCTACTACCAACTCATTACCTATATAATAATCATTGGATCAACATTTTCTCTTTTTTCAAAAACTTTTTAACATTCTCTCTCTTTGATTCAATGGTGATTAAATAGGTAGTAAGTTAGTAGTAAAAAAATTTAGTAGTAAAAATATCCTTCCTCTTTTATAATACAGAAAAAACTAAGCCACTAGAACTCGTAACTGGTAAACATTTGAATAGTTTGCATGAGATAAGTTGAAACCTTAGTTCCATGGTTGTATAAAAAAATAAGAGTTTTATAAAAGTTATATTATAGGAAAAGTGATTGTGTAATGTTATAGAAATTTGTTTTGTGTGTTGTAATTTCTTTTTTTTTCTTTTTTCTTCAAAAAGTGTGGGCCCACAAAATATTGTGTGTAGGAAAGTTTGTTATGTCGTGTTAAATGACAAATGCAAACCCCAAAAAAATAATACAGAAAACGTCTGATATTTATCTACGTAAGTTTCGAAATAATACAGAAAAACTTCACATATTTATCTATGTAAGTTCCGAATTGCATGGTCCACGTTATAAAAATTTTCCATTTAAAATTAGTGGACACAAATCAAGAGTTTGTTTGTCCAATAAGAAACGGGACAACGAAGACTGACTTGCGAATTGTCGCTTTTTCTGCAGTTACTGCAGATAAGTTATCTGCAGTAAGCTCAATACAATGTCGTTTTGGGACGAAAATCATTGTAATTTTGTAATTTTAATTTATTTTAAGGTTACAATAGTCTTTATATTATAATTTTTTATGATTTTAATACCAAAACAACATCGTTTTAGGAATAAATGCAGATAACTTATCTGCATTAACTGCAGAAACATTTTTCCCATATTTGAAATATGAAAAATATAAGCCACTAGAATTGATAAGTTGTGAGGGATTTGAGTAGTTTGCAGGAAATCATTTCTATTAAAAAAAAATCAAAAAATTAATTATAAAAAGCATATTTAAAAAAAATGAAATTCGAGTGAGCATTATAATATTAAATTATTTTTACTAATATTAAAACATTTGTGAATTTACGAGTTATTATTTAAATAGTATTTAAAATAATGATATTATATAAATTATTAGGGCAACATAAATTATATAGTAGAAGTATTTGGCTTCCACATAAAAAACATCCTTGGTTCTCTAAATGTGAAAATATCATCCAAAAAAAATGGTTGTGTTAAAAAATGCATGTGCAGTCCAAACAAATAAAATTTGGTGCTTCGATCTTGTGATGTTAAACAGATATAGGTTGATATCTGTCCCTACTGCTTTTATATTGCAATAACTGAAAATTAAGTTGAGCCATGTGAAGTGATGAATGATTCAAATTGCTTGTATTAAAGTAAATGATTAAAATACCAAATTATGATAGCTTAGTCGGCGCAAGAGAGCTGAGCAGGTAGAGTAGAGAATGTGTGTTCGATCAGTACCATCTTTGAGAGAAGTTTAAAGCCTTAATTCTGAATCTGCCCCGAATATGATTGCCTATCGTGGAGGATACTGTGATTTATGCAAAAAAAAAAAAAAAAAAAAAACTAAGTGATGAAATAACTTCTACAAAAGGGATATATTCGTGGTGATGAGTCTTGGCTGGGTTAGGGACTTGCCTTTTTCGTGAAAACAACCTTTTAACCCTGATTGCCTTTTTTTCTTCTTCTTCTTCTTTTTGCCTAAAACGTCTCACAGTGTTTGAATGTCAGAATTATTTTATTTTATTTTTAGATGTAAAAAATACGGTCTTCATACAAATAGTGTAACACCACGTGTTAACCGGGTTTGTTAACATGTTATCGTATTAAGCCAAGCTTAATTTAAAAATGTGGAATAACTTTTTACTTTCAATTATGACGTCATTAATCTTAGCCAAGTTGATTACTTAATCAATTTCATAAAAACATCGCCTGTATGTAAATTGCAAAAGACATCTAACTGAAATACCTCATAATATAATTAATAATAAGTATCTAAGTCACGGATCTACAACACGCAGTCCGGACATAATCCTAGTACATTATTCAACTCCAAACTAAAACAGCAAAGTCAAATCAATGTGGTATGGACAATCCCCATGCTCACCAAATAAGGCAACAAAGCCCAACAGAGTCTCACATCAAATAACATAACAATAACATAAAGCATGTCAGCATCCAAAGCATATCATCATAAACAACATATATCTCAGCTAAGCTCCGGCCTCCTGCCGCCAGAGGTCTCAACCCCCGTATTATCTGAACCTGAAATAGTGCCCCGAACGTGGGGTGAGATCTCTAAACAGAAATCTCAGTAAGACAAGGGGTCCTCAAGGATCTTCCACCCCAAGCTCACTTACATGTGCAATATAAGTTCTAAAAGCAGTAATTCAATATCAGTTCCAAAATCAGTGCAATGCAACAGATATTCATGTCATGTGTGTTATAACTATTCTACTGATCAGAGAAATGCAGGAATACGTCTATTACCCACATAAATACCAGCCCATGTTGTACCCGCCCACAGGAATACCCCATGGCTTTCTGTTTAGACGGAACACCACATACATATCATATAGCATTTTCACTTAACAGTTCAATAGCATTTCAGCAAAACAATACATGAAAACACATCATGCATATAACCATCCCCCCATGGGACATGGTGGAACAAACAATGGCTAAACCGAGGACACGAAAGATTACCATGCAAGCTAGTTATCCAAGCCAAGAGTCCACACAAGCTCTATGTCCAAACACAGCAGAATCAGAATCTGTTTTGGACCAACAATCATATCAACAACCATAGTTCATAAGCATATAATATTAAGACAACGCTTCTCTTTTATGTTTCATGTCTTAAGGCTTCTCACAAAGCCACGAGCCCTTAATCTCTTGATTCTGACTTAACTTAATCATTACAGAAGTTCAACTTCCACAAACTAGGGTCCACAAACCCATAACTCAGTTCTGTATGAACAGTACCGTTACTGTTCACGCAAACTCAGAATATCCGGATATATGTCGGGGACATATCCGGATATGCATATCCGGATATCATATCCGGATATCCATATTCGGATATCACAAGATCGGTCCGGATATCATATCCGGATATTTCGCGAAAGAATGCAGTTCTGCATTTTCGCGAAGATATCACTCAAAGGTTCCATTTTTAACACTTAAACACGTTAAAGCATGCATCTCTAAGCCCATTTAGGTTCATACTCTGGTTGGTTACTTAAAAAACTCATTAAACATGGAAAGACTCCACTTTTACCCTTTAAAACACATGATCAAAGGTGGGAACACTTACCCAAACTCTAAACAGAAAAGCAATGGCTCATGGAGCTCACCAATTAGCTCCAAAGATTCAGACTTTGAAGGTGCACGAAAATGGCACACAAAGATGAGTTCTTTCTCAACAAAGGTCACTCCTTGGACCTCAATTTTCCATGACATTTGCTTCCACCACTCACACTATGAAGTCAGCCCCCACACCTCACAAGGCAGCATCTACAACTCAGAAATGTAGCACTCCTCTCTCTCACAATGCTAACCCACACCCAACCAAGTGTTTAGATGGTAAAATGGAGAGAAAAGGTGAGGACTTGGCACATTTTCAAGCAAGGGAGACTAAGGAATGGAGGTGGCAGCAGCTGATGCACAAAACTCACGTAGCATGTCCTAGGGTTCTGTGCATAAGTTATATATATAGGCCACTTAGTCTTAATCGCACAGTATTAGCGCTAATTGCTACGCTTAGCATTTTGATCCCAAACTTTGGAATCTGATCCTACTCATTTTTCTAAGATTTATCATATTTTTATTTTATTTTTCGCAGCACCTTTCTGGTACGCGCTTTCCATAGCCAGTATCAGTTCTGGCACCAGTTCTCATTATTTTAACTTGAAACTTGTTTTACAAGTCCTATATAATATTCTAAGAATATTCATGCACTTATTATAATTTTCCGGGATACTTCATCGTGACGCATTTATACCGAGTAGCAGAACTGGTATCTGCACTTTTCGTCAGAAAAGTGACTTTCAGCAATATTACTCACTTACCATACTTATTTAAGCCTCATAATAATTATTATGATCAATTATGGAATTATTTTCTAATTTCACATAATTAATTAATTAACTTCCTTAATTAACGGTGCGGGTTCTTACAAATAGCTTAATCAAGAATTATTTCTTTTTCAATTTATACAAGAGAGATGCTAGTAATTAAAGAGTTACATAAAGAAAACAAGTGCCTACAAGCTAAACGTTTATACCAAAATATAGCTTAAAAGTTCGTAAAGTAACTTAATATTATTTTTTTTGGTACATGTAAAGTAACTTAATTGGATCATAAGCAACTATGCAATCTTAATATTAAATGATTTAGCTTGTTTTAAGTCATAAACATTTTTTCAATTCATTGTCAATATAAATTTTAATTATATTATCTTTTAACCGATTGTTGGTATATAATTAAAATAATTTGATTATTTCAACAATTATAAGAACGGAAAAGTGATTATCCTTTTAAATGACACAACGTATATCATTTC